GTGAAGTACAGAGATGCACAGTGACTAAAGAGACACACAAACCTCTACAGCAGTGACAACAAAGAGATGGATGACAAACACAAATGCAACATAGTTTCCTTGTGTCCCTTTCAGCTTGGGGGGTCTTGCTCCTGTGTAGGAGCAGTGAGGGCCCTTCTCCATGTTCTCCGTTGCCGCATGATCTGCCCATGGGTGAGAGTAGCTCTCAAAGACAGCAGCAGATTTCTGTCAGACAGAAAGAGGAGGAGGAGCTCAGCATTTTCATTTCACCACTTCAGGATAAAAGTCCTTCATATTGTCTTTTCTTCTCTGTGACTCCACTGAACAGATTTTTCAGCAGCTCCTTCAGGCAAAATGGCACTGAGAGGTTTCTTATGTGAAGTCATTTAAAGTAACAACCTGAGATGTGCAGCTGCAACACCAAATGATAAAAGCCAGCAGGGATGCGGAGGATAACCACTGCCAGGGTTGTGTGTTTGACAGTTTCACACGCATTACAGAATTTAGTTTGGAAAATAACCAGAACAGGGGATTTAAAAGCAGAAAATCTGGATATCTAGTGCGAGTCTCAGCTGATCAGATGAAGCAGCGAGCAACACCTGTAGAAACTCACACAGTCAAAACATGTCATCACATTTCTGCCATGAGTTATGAGAGTTTCCTAGTTTGTGATTGTTTTTTTTTTCAGGATTTCAGTTTGTTGATCATGCTGGTTAACACCTCTGTGCTCTACTCAGGTGCCCCGGAGGCCCCGTCTGTGGTTCGTCTGAGCGTGAGCAGTAGCACCACACTGACTGTCACCTTCCAGGAGCCGCAGTGTCTCAACAACACAGTAGTGACCAAATACAGAGGTACACACACACTTTACCCTGCAAATAATTGCATACAAACAATACTCCACAGAACAAAGATGGCATAAAAAAGTATTTCAGTTCACGGGTGCTGCCTCATAGACAAGGTGCCACCCACAACATTTGAAGCGACAGCCAGCTCGAGCTGCAGGTGTTCAGGAGGCTCAGCCTGAATCTGTCAGCGGAGTTTTCTCTCTGGAGAATGACTCTGGTTAGTGCTGAGCTCAATGAGTCTGGATCTGCCATATTGTAAACAAGTAACAGTCCCAAACATCACAAACTCGTTTGCGTGACTGACGTGATACCGCAGTGACTCAGGTAGGTCCAGTCACAAACACGTGGCCTACGTAGTTGTTACTACTCTTTAACCAAGGAGAGCCTGTGGGTTTACACAAAGCTGAGAAGGTCACTTCTTTGTCCGCAGCTGTGTATTCGCACACTTACCAGAAGGAAACACCTGGAGGCAGCGAGCTGAGGTTAAGGTTAATGGGAATGTCCTCGTCTTAGGAAGATCTGTTGATCTGTAATGACGTTGTGTTGATTTAACCCATGTCTGTGTGTGTGTGTGTGTGTGTGTAGTGGAGTGGAGCTGCCTGAAGGATTTCTCGCTGCTTGCCGGAGAGACAGTGTTGGATGATCTGCAGACCCTCAAGTGCACCATCAGCGGCCTCACCACGGTAATTGCAGCATCACTCCTCCACCTGTCTCAATCACCTCAGCCTCTTGATTACCTCTGGATTATCTTGCTGCTGTAGGCAGGAGACTCAGGGCCAGGAAGATTAAAAACTGACTGTTCATTTATTTGATCTGGATCAAAACCTCAGCAACAGTGACCAGTTACACTGTATTTCACAGGTGCATTATGTCCTGACAATAACAAAATAATGCAAAAGATTGATAAAGGGACTCAAAGCCACCACAGGCACAGGTACCAGACCCAACACATACAGTCTGAGATAACAAGGGATTCAAACCCAGCACAAAAGGACAAAAAATGACTACAAAGGAAGACAAACATGTCCTGGCATTTGGTCTTAATTACTGGGAAAACAGAGACAGTGTGTTGGTGTAGTTAGAGCTTTTTTTCTAGTTGTGTTGAGTTTAAAAGTAGTTATCGACCTCCATTTCATCAGTCCTTGAAAACTTTCCTCACTGTACATTGAGTTGTCACTGTAAACGCACTGTGTGCCTGCTGGCTCCGACTAGACACTGCAATAGACGAACTGTCTATTCATCTCAGCACAGTGTGGTTTGTTATGTTTTTTCCTTTTTGTTTGCAGATTGAACAAGCCAAATGCTGATTAGTGAATTTAAACTGGCTTTCCCAATGGCAGCTTCTTTCAGAGCTGCTCCAGTCCTGTTTTGTCGGTGTAAATGTTCCCTGTAACTCTGCTGTCGTGTCTTTGTCGAGTGGCATTGTGACATTTGAAGAGTGTGGAGTTTAGCTGAGGCTGTTGTTCATTATGCATTCTGTGCATTATTGTCTGGCACATGAACACACCGACTGTGGTGCTTCTGCTGTTTGCCGTTTGGAGCAGCAGCCGGCATTCAGCTCCTTCCACTGCAGCCTGAAAAACATTTAGAAAAGAACCTGCTGCTGTACTGGAAAGGCCAAGACACACTGTGGGTGTATAATGAGCCAGTAAGTGGACTTCAGTCTGAGCCAGAATCCATATCTAAAATGTTAGTGTGGACCTGCACCGATTTTCATACTGTGTTTATTCTGTCAAGGCTGAATCTCAAGTGAAACTGATTTATATCCTGCTGTTATGGAATGATCACTACATGAGGCTTGTCTGAAAAGAGACGTGACTGTTGGAAAGCAAGTCAGACGACCACAAAAAGAAGCCAGACAGCCACAGACACGTGACTACAACAGAGAGGCAAAAATCAATTACACAGAGATGTAAAATGGCAACAGAGACACAGCTACAAAGAGACATAAAGCAGACAGAGTCCCAAGCAAACTGACAACAAATTTTAAAAAAACTAACACGAGTAAAAAGATGAAAACAAAGAGGCCGTCTCCAGAGTCCTTGTCAGACCTGCACTTTGATGCATAGATGGTCCAGTGGAGGTGTCCACACACTTTTGGTCGCACTGCTGTTAATGTACAGGTGTGAGTCTCTGGTTCTTTCACAGTTGTTAAAAAAATCAAATCATAAGTCTTTCAGATCTGTTTGAGAGGCCTCGATTAGCTGCTGCATGCACAATAGTGGAGTACAGGACAAACATCTGAAACACTATCAGTCATGTCAACAGTCCACTTTGCTTCTTTTCTTCTATGTCCACGGGTCAGTGTTGTCTTTGTCCTCCTGCACACGCCGCCTCTCAGCTGTGTCTCTTTGTCAACTCATGGGTTCCTTACGTTGCAGGGTCGGCTCTACTACGTCAGAGTGTTGGCCTACAACATGAAGGGCTGGGGTCCGCCCGCCTCCTCCCTCCCCCCGTCTGCAGCTCCTTCTAGTAAGTTCATTTTAGTCTGTTCAGCTCTGTGGCCTCACTAACACAGCGGATCGCAGGTGCAGGTCTGCGCCTCCAAGACTGGCTTTCATTAAAGATGAGAGACTTTCTCTCACTGAATCCAGTGAAACAAATCAGCAGCATCACCTCTGCTGGTCTGTGAATGGGGACAGAAAATTCACAGGGACATAATATTTCAAGGGCATCAAGTGAAAACACTAGAGATTGTTTTGTCACAGCTTCCTAAATGTGAGGGTTTGTTTCTGTCAGTGTGAAGTGGATATCTGCGGGTTTTTGGTTTGTTGGTCAGATAAAACAAGACATCTGAACAAATCACCTGACTGACATGGAAAAAAGGTTGACAAGCTGATGATAAATAATGTCAGTAAAAATTCTGATGTCCAGGTTTGAAGTTTGTGTTGAGTCCCCTTCAGACTGGTCCTACATTTTTGTCCTGGAACAAGTGAACCTGGTTCAGTTTGGTGGTGACAGGTGAGGTGCCAATCTCTGGCCATCCTCCTGGTCTGTTAGAGGTTACAGCCCCCTCTGTTGGGATGAAAGCCCTAGCTGATTTTCTTGCTCTGTTTAATTCCACTTGTACTGACATTCTGGACTCTATTGCACCGGTCAGGAGGATTAAAGTAAAGACAGTTGAGGAACCCTGGATGATTCCACTCGTGCACTGAGGCAGTTATGCAGATGAGCAGTGCGGCAATGGAAGAAAGACAAGCTGCAGCAGCTCTTGTTGATTTGTTTCTCAAAACTTCCAGTCTCAAAACTTCCTTCACTATTTTATATCGAAAGTTGTCTCCATTATACTGAGTGGTAATGTTTGGTTGAAGCTCCCATCGGCTTGGCTGTCCTTGATCGGTCTGAGCCAGTGTCACTTGCTTTGATCAGAAAAGTGGTCCATCGGGTGAAACCTACTCACTGCTCTTTGGATATTTTGCCATCTGGCATTTTTAATCAGGCATTTGAGGCTTTGGGCCTAGCTTTGTCGATTTTATTAACGTGTGCCTAAATTCCACTGCTTTCAAGCATGCGGTAGTCCAGCCTTTGCTTAAAATCCAAATCTTGATCCTTAAAGTGTCTCAAACTTTAGGCCCGTCTCTAAACTGCTATTCCCATGCAAAGTATTGGAGACGGTCATTCTCATGCAGCTTCAAGAATTCTTGGAGGAAAGCTATTTATGAGAAATTCCAGTCTGGGTTCAAACTGTGTCACAGAACAGAATCAGCACTTTTAAGGGTTTTTACTGACCTTCTTTTAGCTGTTGACTCTGGTGGGTCAGCTCTGTTAGTGCAGGTGGACTTCTCTGCTGCATTTGAAACTATAGACTACAAAATTCTTCTCTCCAAACTAAAAGAATGGGTAGGAATTCAAGATACAGCCCTAAAGTGGATCCAGTCCTATTTATCTGGCAGATGCTTTTTGTTAGTACTGGGGAATCTTCTTCTTCAGCTGCCCTTCTCTGTGGTGTCCCTCATGGATCTGTTTTGGGCCCAGTATTGTTTTGTCTATATTTGCTCCCTCTTGGTTTGATCTTTGACATTTATGGCATTTCATTTCACTGTTACACGAGTGATATACAAGTCTGTCTTCCATTGATGTTGAGTCCATTCGTCATTGTCATTGATTGTCTAAGGGATGTTAAGTTGTGATTGCCTCACAGTTTTCTTTATTTGAATGAGAGTAAAACCAAATGCCTGTTGGTCCAAAAAAACAGGCTCTGGTAGTGGTAGTGGTGATCTGAACCTTGGATTTACACCCTGCTATGTAAAGCTCACTGGTGATCTTTGATGGTACGCTAAATTTTGAGAAGCAAATTCGCGCAGTAGTTAAAGAGCGTTTTTTCTAGTTGTTTCTAAAATAAAATCATTTCTCTCATTTCAAGATTTTAAAAAAGCGATTGATGCATTCATTAGCTGATGGTTGGATTATCGCCGTGCTCTGTACATTGACATAAACCAAGCTGCTCTGACTCACCTGCAGTCAGTACAGAATGCAGCTGCTCGTCTTTTAACAGGCGCATGTCAACATGAGCATATTGCGCCTGTTCTCTTGTCCTTGCACTGGCTTCCAGTCCGTTACAGGATTGATATTAAAACACTGCTGTTTGTTTTTAAAGCATTAAACGGACTGGCACCATTTAACTGAGTATAAACCAACAAGATCACTGAGATCATCACACCAGCTTGTTGCCAGAGGTTCCCAGGTCTAAAACTAGATGATGGGCTGACCAAGCGTTTGCTAGAAGATGTGGAACGGTCTACTCATTACTATCAGATCGGCTTCAGATCTGGGGCCTTTAAAGCATTACTTAACACTCATTTTTGTACTCTGGCATTTACACTGCATTCTTATCACATTGTGGGTTTATGTTTTGTTTGATGCTTTAATCAGCATTCAGTGATTTGATGTTTTGAGTTGATTATATATATATTTCAAATTTTTCCTCCACAATTGTGAAGCACTTTGGTATAACTTAGAGTTGCTGTAAATGTGCTATATAAATATGATTTGATTTGATCTGATCTGATCTGATTCATGCACTGGAAGGAGCCAGAAATCAGGAACAGGTTTGAAACCAAGTAAAAGAGTGTTAAATCAACACAGACAGTGGCAGGATTTAAAACAGGTCCTGGTCTGCACTCAGGCTGCAGAGCTCTGGGTCTGAAGCAGTGGACTCTGGGGTTTCACTTTCCAGACATTGACAGCGTCTTCGTACATTTCAGACTGTGATGTTAGACTGTCAGTAGTGTGAAAGTAAATACTTTGTGGAAATGCTTCATTATTTAGGTCTGTTATTTCCTAGTAGTTTCATAAAAGTTTTCAGGAAAAAGATTTTTGTAACTTGTGAAATAAAAGCTCAATTCTTAGTTATTTCACTTGTGCTGCCTTTATGATTGATTTCTGCTCCGTTTAAACCCCAGTGAAAATTTATCCATCATTAAGTTAGGACATGAAGATCAGGAGGCGTCCGGCGTTTCTACTCAAGTTTTTTTGGGTTCAGTTTGCAAATGTGCTTAAAGTGTGCACAGTTCCATTCGTCAGTGTTACCACGATGTCAGCACAGAGACCCGGACTGGTGGCGCTGACTGACACCATATGAAGGATGATCAGTTATTTTTGGCCCTTTGCTCGTCCCTGCTGATGGTGGCTACGGTAGCAAGTTAAACAGAGCTGAGTTTGTCTGCTTCCTGTAGCTGGTAGTGAAGGGCAAGCCAGCTGGGAATCATGTGAATCGGCTCCAAGGTCCTCGGATTTGAAACATCTCCTTCATCTCTCCGTCACGACTCGCTTTCTTTCTGCACTTTCAAACCTCAGCCTTGAGCTGTGTGTGTGTGCGACTACATGTGCATTGTCTGGATGTGCTGAGGTTTGTGTGTGTGTACGTGCGTCAGAAGTAGACAAGGATGCAGAGTGTGTGGGAGAGAGCTCTGCAGAGAGGGAGAGTACACCGGAGGGTGCTTACAGTTGGTTACAGTTGAGATAATTCACACAAAACAGCACAAATACAAACTTGATATAGGCGCTAGACACTACTCCGTGGCGCACTCTGTGGCAAAGCTTCTCCTGGTGCGCGTCTGATAGTCAAAAAGTACTGAGGCTTCTAGTGTTGGTTTGTTTTACTGCTCTGCCCTTGTCCCTGCAGCCTTTGTCCTGCTACAGACTAACCCAGTTACATGGCAGAGAAGTCAGTGTCGTCCGGCAAGCGAGCCGGGCACAGTCGGGTGTCAGACCTGTGCTGTGATATCTCTGCACTCTGGAAACTGTTGTGCAAGTCCATTTTGTGGGTGAGCACAACTGAGAAGTTGACAGCGAGAGGAGAAGGTGTTTTCTTTGCTCTAACATCTTCTGGTTGTTTGTTCAGACTGGAGGGAGAGCGATGGCCGGGAGCCCAGGAGGCGGGGCCACATCGAGGCCATGGAGCGTCTGCTACAGCAGGTTCGAGCGACTCACACTCACTACTGCTGTGGAGGTGAGTCTCTCCACAATAACAAAACAAAAACATCCCTTTAAAAGATGTTATTCAATCAGATATTCAGTCTGTTAGATTAGCTCGACTGATGGATGTTTTTCATTCCCACCACTGAGTCAGGTGTTCTCATGAGAAGGAACAGAAATAGTTCAAAGACCATGTGTAAAATTACTACAAGTGGCTGATTTGCATCAGGTGTAAGTGAGACTGATCTCATTAAGGATTTCACTCTCAGCACTCGACAGTGTTTGATGCTCAGCGTGTCCACCTCCCCCTCCCAGCATCACCAGTAGAAGGTCTTTGACCCAGCACACTACCAGAGCCGAAGAACGCCCCTGTGCAGCAGCCCAACACGCACACACACACACACACACACACACACACACACACACACTCCCCTCATGGCTGAACCCAACAGTGTGTCCTGTGTTTTCATTCCAGTGGGATCATTTGCACAGCAGCGCTACGCCAGTGACATATTAAAACATATAAATGGGCATAATCCAGAGAAGCTAAACTTGAACTTATTTATGTACATGGGCTCCCCTGGCGCCTCGTGTGTGTGTGTGTGTGTGTGTGTGCGCCCATCCACCTGTTTCTGCACACTGTTAAAGTGTGTATGCCACACTGAGCTGGAGACACAGTCACTGCTTTAGAACAGAAGACAAAGGCATTTGAATGTTTACATTTTGACCTACACTGAGGGATCAGTGTTCGATCCACAGTTCAGTCAGATCTCTTTAGATTACTCAGTGCTTTCCAGGATTTACGACCTGGGATTGCAAGCAATAACACAAACTCAGCCGACCTCCACGGCATCTGCACAATCCTGGGCTTTTTTTCCCCCAAGAACCATAAAAAGTTTATAATAGTGTTTAATTATCACTCCAGATCATGGCAGAATGGCACAACAATAGTCACGGATTTGGTGCAGTCCTTTGTTAAAACCATGGTAAACCTGGCAAACTAAACAGATCGGTGCCTTATAATTACCTGTAGTGAACCTTTGTCCAGACGTTTGGCAAGCAGCGCTGAGTCGGCAAGGGAGAAAAATGTCTCTGCGCACAATAACAAAAGTCATTCACATGTGTGTTTGAATTTGTTTGGAGTGCACGGTCAGTGACCCACTGTGCGTGTGTGTGTGTTGGGTATTTATACAACTTATTCTCCGAGAGTCTAAACTAAATGTGTGAAATTAATCAGTGTGCACAAAGCCTCCACTGTAGAGCCCAGAGCTCGTTTAGTGTCTGCATACGTTAATGTGTGGCGTGCACGCAGTGCGCTGTCTGCCTGTAGATGGAGGGGCCCTCAAAGACACACAGTCATGTGCTGAGGCTTGTTTTCTCTCCATCCTGCTAAATAGTTAAGCCATTAAGAGTAGCTGATTAGTTTTACAGGGACATGTCTGTGTAAAGGACCAGTCCAACATCTTCTCCACGGTCACAGGATTCTGTCTCAAATCATTTGCATCCAGAACTGTTAGTGCACATTTAACCCTAAGCCTAACCTTGATCCCTACTCCTCAGCCTGTGGGCACTGTCCCACAGGTGGGTGTCCAGTCAGAAACTGCCTGTGTTTGTTGTTGTCAGGGGCCACGGACCTTGTTGTGTTGTCACATTTGTAGGAAGCAAACTAGCAACGATACGTGTAGAGAGGCCCGAGCAGCTTCTGGGGCACCCAGCATTGCAGCACAGTCCCTCTGAAACTGGACAGATGGCCCATTTATCCTTCAGCCCTACAATTTTTAGATTTTCCTCTGTTTCACTCAGCACCTCACTTTCTCTGTCAGATAATAATCTGCAGCAACAACATTATACTGAAAGACTAGAATGTGTCTGAGCAGTTTGGAGACTAAACCAAAACCTCTCTGGTCTCTCTCGCTCTGGTCCGATGGAAAGGTGGTCGCCTCATTAATCAGCTCCAATCATGTTTTTCAGCCCATTCCAACCAAAACTCATTTCTTTATTTATCCAGAGTGACGTGCGGCGCTACACAGTAGGCCGGTGAGCTCTTGTCATATTATCCACTTGTCAAACCCAGTTAGCCTGCGGCACTGCAAACACACTGAGACTTTTTACAGCAGGAGAGCGCTGGTGGCAGCCTCGACCTGCTCCTGAAATAACACCGCGAGTGTGTGTTTTCATGAGTCTGCTGCTGCTGAATGGCCTGTTGAAAACACTCGGTGCACACACTCACTGCTGCAAGGACGCTTGTGTAATGTTTCAGAGGCGGCAGGCGCTAAAGGTCGTCCTCTGCCTGTCTGATGACATACAGGTCAAGCTGTAGAAGAAATACACTCATCAGCCTTGCATCATTATCATGAGCGTGTGTGGATGCAGGAGCGTTTACGCCGACAGACTCTGAAAGGGCAATTTAATAGATGAAAGTGTGAGTGCTGCAGTGGAGCCTGGACAAAAGACGCTCAGACCCCCGCATCACACAGGCTGTAATTACCACTTCAGCAGGCAAGCAGCAATTTCTCGTCAACATACAAGCCCAGAGCTACACTTCACTTCCTCAGACCAAACCAGCATCTGTTCTCTGTGACTGAGCAGAGCGAGAAAACCTCCAGCATCACGTGCACAGACCGGAAACTTCATTACATGCACCGGCTTTATGTGATCGAGTCAGATATTATTTGTACAGCCAACTATCATGAGTCACAATGAGCCTCGGGGGCTTTATAGTCTGCACCTCTTCAGGAGGAGCAGAGTGTCCAGCACACGTTGCCCCACCCAGGCCTCAGGCCCTGCTGCTCCTTAGACCTCCATCAAGTCTCCTGCCTTCACAGTGGGCTGTTAGTAATGGAGGGCCGGTGGTGAACACATTTCCGTTTGTTGTCTGTGGCAGACTGAAGCTCAACAACATGTCTGCCGTCTGTTTACAGGACCATAATTATGGCCCACTTATTTAGCCTAGTACAAAGGGACGCTGTGGTCTGGAGATTGGCATCGCTGAGCAGCCGGCCACCGTCCTCCGTGACTGGGAGGGAACAGAGAGAGACAGCCAAACAAATGGACCAGATAAGATAACGATAGGTCAGAGCAGCAACATGGGAGAGCGACTCGACCCCAGTGACCTCATGAACTAACATAAACACTGGCACGCGGCTGTTCAGGTGGTGTTTAAAGTCCATTTGAACAGTTTGAGCAAAACAATGTGAGTTTTGATGTTGAATTTACAGCCCATCTGAATATTAAGTTACCGTCAGAAAAAACATTTCAAATCCAGTCAAGGCGGACAATCCTAAAAGGGGGTGGATTTTAAAGCAGACTTGTGTCTGATGGGAAATCAGCGTATCAAAGGAGAATTTCTCAACTAACGACAGTTTCCTTCTCCTTTGTTTCTTGCCTTTAGATGCATCTAAGCTGCAGAACCCCGGCAGGAAGCCGTCGGTCTCCAGAAGTCTCAAACACCTGTTCAACTCCTCCAGCAAATTTGTGAAAACGCTGAAGAGGTTTGTTCAGATGTTCCCGTCACATGATTGGATTTAAAGGCTCCTCCTGGTGATTTTCTCTGTGTGTCTTGTTGTCCAGCAGCAATACCAGTGAGAACACCCAGAGCAGCAGTGGGTGTCTCCACTGGCAGGCCTGTGTGTGTCTCACAGCTGATGCGTCTCCACTGTTGTCTATTAAAAACACACCTGTGTGTCTGCAGGGGCATCTACCTGGCAGCAGTGTTTTACCATAAGGACAGTTTACTGGTGACAGCGGAGGACCAGATCCCCATCGTGGAGGTGGACGACTCCTACAGCAGCTCCCTCACGCAGGACTTCCTCTGGTTCACCAAGGTGCAGTGTGCTGCCTCCGAGCCCCTTTGTACCAGCATGTGATCCCTGTAGTTGGTTTGTCGTTGATGAGCTTCATGATGTCAGCAGCTGAGAGGTCTGAGAGAACGTCTAGCCACACGGCTTGTTTTTCATTGTTGTTATTTTTAAGAAACTCCACCTTTTTATTAATGCTTGCACATACAACCACTGGAGGGCAATGTCTCCATGGCAACGTTATACTTCCTGTTTACATTACCCAAAGTCTGTTGAGAAAGCCAACCAGATATGGACATGATCCTTTAGTTGTTCATTCCCTACCAGTGTTGTGCTTCACGCTCTCTAACTCCCTCTTAGCCTTTATCTGAGGGAACGTCCACATTAGTCCAGTTAATATTTCAAAGCAGAATCATTGTCTCTGTTTCTGTCCCCACCCCCTCAGTGCAGCCTCCAGACTGTGTGAATCTGAAAAACGCCACCTTGGTGTTTGTCAGATGCTCAGTGAGGGTCGACAACATTTGGCCTCCTCTGTGATGGTTGATTTTAAATATCAGTGAACACAGTGTTGTCAGGGACCTGGGTTTATTGTGATTTCATTAGGCGACGTCCCAGCCAGGAAGTCCAGATTTTGTCAGCTGGCTGTCTGCCCCCTCCTCCCACAGCTTGCCTCTGATGCACAGTTTAGATGTCTTCAGACTGAGAAGAGGGTGAAGAAGAAGAAATTTACACCCTCGTGTTGGTCAGGTATTAGTATATGGTCTTAGTGTGGATTGGGTTTCTTGAAACAATGTGAATGCAGATTGTATCCAAACTGTCTCACTTTTTGGAATCATCACCTGCTTTGCTCCTTGGATCTTCTCCGGCGACTCTGGCCTCCTCACACCTCCAGGCTGCTGCCGCCTCCAAGCGCAGCCCACGTTTTGCAAGTCGCTGCAGTTTAATGACTTTCTCTCTCTGTGTGTGTCTCTGCAGCTGTCCTGTATGTGGGAGGACGTCCGGTGGCTCCGACAGAGTATGTCCGTGTCGATGTCGTCGTCCTCCACCCTTCTGGCCAGGCACAAAATGCTCACTGCTGCTGGCCAGCTGCAGGTCAGGACTCAAAAAGCTACCAGAAATGACATAAAACTAACTGGAAAGATAAGTTTAATCAGCTTTAATAAATCATCTGTGAATATGTGGAGCATTTAGACTCAAGTGAATGAATTTCCCAGTGTCTTTTGAAACCTGCTTGAATTTAGAAATGAGATGAGTTTCAGACACTGCATCTGAGCAGCAGACAGCTTGTTCCTAAACCTCAATCTGCACGGAGTCTGTGCCAACGTGATTCACTGGGCAGCCACCGTAGAAACACCTGTTGCTCCTGAACACCTCTGTTCTGTTCAGTCTGAGTTGCAGAAAGTGGCTGACGCACAGTTACCTGAGTTGTCTAGAGTTGTCTGAGTTGCCTATGTAGGAGGGATGTCACATGGGAGGCAGGTCTGTATAGGAGCTGTCAATTTGTTTGGCATTTGTTCACAGAATAAGCAATGAGAGACTCTGATTGGTTGTAAGGTTGGGAACCACTGCACCAGAACATCATGAGCGTTGCTGCAAAGGGTTTTATATTTTTTGCAAAAGTATGATGCAGTTAGGGATGATCTGATCTGCCAGTGCTGAGCTTGCCTGATACTTTACCTACGTGTCTGACACGTAGCAACAGCTGTAGACACTAAACCAGCTCACCTTGTTTGTCTTGAGCTGGGTTTATCAGATTCTATTAGCGATGTGTTATGAATGAAAGTGCAATGCTGAAAATTATGTGATCCTCTAGAGAGGAGAGGTCTCACTCTGTTGGAGTTGTAGGAACCATAGAAACACTCTCTGATGCAGAGTGGAGCGTCACCCTCAGGTTGTGTCATCGAATTAGCTTTAATTAGCTGATTTTGTGCACTAATGCTTTGTGTTGGTAGTTCACAGTGTTAGCGTTCCAACATGCAAATGGGTGCATTTACCTGTGTGCCCTGCAGAACCTCCTGGGAACTCACAACCTGGGTCGGGTCCACTACGAGCCCATCAAGGACCGCCATGGTAACGTGCTACTGGTGACCATCCGCGACACCGAGAGCCAGCACTCGCTGTTCAGTGGCAAGTGGATGCAGGTGACCAAACTGCAGAGCCAGAGGAAGTCTCTGTCCACACCCGAGGAGCCTTACGCTCTTGACGTCCTCATCATCACCATGCAGGTGAGGAAGGTCTCAAAACAAAACAGAAACATGCAGAATATGTGTTTAGTCATTTCATTGTTGTCAGTCTTGATTTGACAAATAAATTTAGTCGGCATCAAACATTTGACAGTAGTAGACTCGTTTTAGCCAAATGCTTTACTACCCAGTCTGCAGTTTCCTCTCATGAAGTGGCAGATAGTTTGAACTTCATGATGTGTTGAATGTTGGTGACATCTAGAAAGCGTCAGACACTGTGAGCTCATCAAGAGGTTTGTTGCTCTAAAGCCCTTTGTTTTGCAGCATCAGCCTCCATGTTTGGTGTGTACTGTCACCATGGTGACCTGTGGGTTTCTGTAGTGTTAAACGAATGATTGAACCACTGTCCACCACCTTTTTTTTTTACATTAGATGTAAAACACATTCTAAATGACCACTTGTTTCCCAGGATGGGGCGGCAGTGACATCAGGTCCACCACAGCAGGAACATGAGTGATCACGCAAATAAACATCAGACATGTTGGACAATATGGCTAAATATTTGCGGATGGACCTGTCTGCAGGTTCATAAATGTTGACTGTTTCTCCCAGTACACAAACCGTCCTTTATGCAAAATGAAAACTGATGGACTTGTTTGTCGGGCCTATAGACAGCAGCAACACATGGCCACATAGCAAATCATAATGAAGTATGAATCATTTTACACAGCAGGGATGAAGAGTTCAGTTGTAGCTGCCAGGCGTTTTCTATAAATCCTATCAAAACCAAGCGCTCCTCCTGAAGGGGCCACCCTGGCACCGTGTGGCCTCCAGACAGCGAGTCAGTGTTCACAGAGTAGTGAAGCACCTCCCTCCCCTCCTCAGTGTCCTGTTGAATCTTATCAAGTTATTTGATTGTGGTTATGATTTTTCTGCAGAATCATCTTTTGTATGACATAAAATTCTGAGGCGTGGAACTGGACCTGGGCCAGGAACCTCTGGCTTGTAAAAGTCTGCACAGACAGTAAAGCTGTTAACATTTGTTCTCGCCTTGGCTCTCTCTGTTTCCGTCTCCACCCTCCAGGACATTTTGGCGTACCAGCGGCGCGGCACTCACCGGCTGGCCCCTGGCCTCTACCTGGGCTACCTGAAGCTCAGCTGCTCCGTAGACCAGATCAAAGTGCTGGTGTCCCAGCGGACTCCCAACATGCTCTGTCACACCCGCATACGAGACAACGCCAACGTGTCCAGGTACATAAAACACACACAGACACAGGGTTTGACAAATCTCCTGCCAGTGGCAGACTGTCACGATGAGGCATGGAAGAATAACACACAGAGAGAAGAGGGGCTCTCACTTATTTAACACCAAAGGCTTTAGTTTAATGTCACTGCCAAATATCAATATTATTTACTCAGATGAATAAAGACCAAAGAGTCCTCAAGGCTGACGAGCAGAAAGAGTCGTGACAGAGAGATGAAGCCAGTGTTCTCACCCCAAGGGCCTGAGAGGCGGAAGGCACACTGAGATGATTCACAGCTGAAGGAGCAAACACAACAACATGTTCACTGGTGCCTCATGCCATGTTTGATGCTTTCTGTCACACTTTAAATCAATAAGTAAGTTGAGACATGTTTTGTGATCCTCTCAGATTTCCTCCAGAGTGCTTTATCTGCAGGGAGGAGAGCACCACAGGGACTGTGAACTCCACCTGAGCAGCTCTCTGTGGAAACTGTTTCTACGCATGTCAGTGTCCCACAGTCTCGTCCGGGTTTCAGTCTTACTCAGGACATAACAAAGCTGGTTCTTCATCTCTCTTCACTGCTCTGATATAGTCCAGGTTTCTAATTAGGGTTCTCCTTGACTCCTCTGCATCCAGCAAATGCCACTGTCTGTGCTGAGTGCAGTAGAAATGGAGAGATGAAGTGAATACCCAGAACCAAGTGGGACCACCAAGAATGACTAAGAACAGGGCTTCTCTACACCTTTAAATATTAGCCACGTTTTTAAGTGTCTCTGCTGAAAGAAGGACCAACAGAACTTAGATTGACCCTCATGCGTTGGTGACAACACTGACACAAAATGCATCCAGCTGTTGAGGTCAAGGTTTAGGTGGTGGAGCTGACGGGAGTGAAAGCTGTAAGATCACCCTGCAGATCACCTGCTAATCAGCTGACTGACAACCGTGATCTGACAGTGTGAGGCCTCTCTACATAGAGTGGTGGTGAACGAGACCTGTCTTCAGAGCTCAGAGGCTGTCGGTCCCCCAGCAGCGACACTGACCTGCAGGCTTGTGTTACATTACCCCCTCACTAGGAGACTCTCTCTACCTGTCTGGATGTGCGTGTCTCTTTTGTGTTCACTGCAATCTGATTGGCTCTGAGCTCCAGTATTTCTGCTCTTCAGCCTCTGTCTCTGGAGGTCTGATGAAAGCAGGAGAATGTTGTGTGTGAGAGGACATGTGACAAAGAGGCCACAGTGATTCTGAAGTCAACACAGTGAGTTTCCCCCGTGAAGAAAGGCCTGGACCAGTCCTGGATTTATCCTTGTAAATGTTGCTTATGTGCTGGTGAAGATCAGAACTGTTTGTACAACTGGTTCTTGCATGAAACCCCTTGTCTTTTTTTAATTTCACACATTCTTCTTTTTCAACGCCTACATTACCCAAAGTGCACGTCTGCCACTGACATTTGGTTGGTAAACTGTCTGTGTGTGTTGTTCAGGGAGGAGTGGGACTGGATCCGGAAACTGTCAGCTGTGGGAGAGAAGGAGAGCGAGGAGGCAGAGCCCAGGGCTGAAAGCCACACCCCCTTACTGTACTACGAGCTGCAGACGGCGATCATGTCCCTGCTGAAGCACATCAACCTACCTCTGCCCCAGGTATACAGGCTGTCTTCAAGCTTCACTGATGTCAGGAATGTTTTCACAGGTGAAACTTTATTATCAGCTGAGCAGATTCAGCCTCTGGGCCTGAGCAGGCTCCTGGTAGAAATAAGGACTTGTCCCTTAACCTGGCATATTTCACACACAGCGGCTCAGACAGTGCATTAAACCATCAGAAGAAAGATGGAAACCAGCATAAAATTGTTAAAATAGCTCAAATTTAGATCTGCAGGATTCTCCTGATCTAATTTGAAACGTGTTCGTACATGACCGGTGGATACAGTTTACCAATTCAGTTTATTGTATTATTATATAAAAAATATCAAATTACAACTTCAACCTGGGTCTTTGAATTAATTTAATAATGTCAAGATTAAACAGATGCAATTTGTAGATTTTTGTCCTTAAAGATTCCAGTTTTTCAAGATCAGTTAGATCAGTTGTTGTCAGTTACAATTCATCTGAATTAGATTTAGTTTTGGTCTTTTGACAAAAATCATGTTGATTTTGCAGTTACCGTGGTTACAGCTGTCTCCATCTCTGCTCTTTACACTTACCATGGTTACAGCTGTCTCCATTTCTGCTGTGTACAGTTACCGTGGTTACAGCTGTCTCCATCTCTGCTTTCTACAGTTACCGTGGTTACAGCTGTCTCCCTCTCTGCTCTGTACTGTTACCGTGGTTACAGCTGTCTCCATCTCTGTTCTGTACAGTTACCGTGGTTACAGGTGTGTGTCTGTCCCTGTGCTCTGCAGCAGCTGCTTCAGGCCCATTCGGACTGAAACCCTGTTCACTGGGTTCATCCCGAGGGGAGAAACTAAACCGTGGGAGAACTAATTCTCAGTGGAGTGTAGATGAATTACGTTCATAAACCAGTTTCCTCCAGGAAGCGCTAACGTCAGCTGACAGGGACAGAATGTTACTGGGTGTTAGATGCTTCTGAATAACGGCAGTGCAACAGGTCAAGCAGCTAAATCAGCATCAGCAGGAGAGGTCTGGTTTCTCTGGTCAGGAGCCACAGTTTGGGAGTCCACACATGAATAAGACTTTGCTTTAAGACTGGTTAAATTAATTATTAATTTCACACACAGTGGCTCAGACAGTTAATTTCAAATTAGATCAGGAGAATCCTGCAGATCTAAATTTGAGCTATTTTAACAATTTTATGCTGGTTTCCTTCTGATGGTTTAATGCACTGTCTGGGCCGCTGTGTGTGAAATGTGCCAGGTAAATCTGTCTGTGGTCACATCAGTGTGTCTCAGCTCCCACACAGGAACAAAACACTGAGCTCCACCAGGTGAATCATTGTGTTTTATGTTTGGGCCTGGCGCTTGGTTGAGGCTGAGCTATAGCAGGATGTGTTTATGATGAGGTTAGAGTCAGTGCAGCGATCAAACGTAAGTCGGTGAGATGTGCATATGTGACAGAAAGAAGTGTGTGTGTGTGTGTGTGTGTGTGTGTGTGTGTGTGTGTGTGTGCG